CCTGTCTTGGGGGTGGGGGGGGGAGAAAAACAGTTAAAAATTTTTCAGGGAGCCGGGTGGTGGTGGCACACGCCTTTAATCTCAGCACATGGAAGGCAGAGGCAGGCGGATCTCTGTGAGTTCGTGGCCAGCCTGGTCTACAAGAGCTAGTTCCAGGGCAGGCTCCAGAGCTACAGAGAAACCCTGTCTCAAAAAACAACAAAAAACAAAACAACAACAAAAAACCCAACAAAACAACAACAACAACAACAAAAAATCAAGGTACTTGGGAAGATTTATTGAGACGGTATGAATAAAGCCAGGAGGCTGGAAAAGTGGCTCCATGGTTGAGAACACTAGGTGTTCTTCCGGGGGGACCTGGGTTCACTTCCCACATGGCAGCTCACCAGCATCTCCAGCTCCAGTTCCAGAAGATCCAGCACCCTCTTCTGGCTCCTGTGGGCACTGCATGCACATGGTGCGCAGACATATATGCAGGCAAAATACCCAAACCCACTAGGTAAAAATAAATAAATCTAAAAACCATTTAAAAAAAATAAACCCAAAACTTAACAAGTGCTCATTGTATGCAAATTAAATATGAGTCAAAAGCCCTCTAGAAAGGACTGAGGGTTAGCTTACAGACGAAACAATTGCCTGGCACCTGCGAGGTCCTGCATTTGACTGTCGCTGTGGAAAAAAAGAAAAACCCTCTCCTGGAATCGGACTCTTTACTGAACAAAGAGAGCAGATCAGGCCCAGTATCTGAGGACAGAAGGAAAGAGCAGGCAGTGTGGGTGTGAGCCCATCCTCACGCCCTCCCTCTCTGGAGAGAACTGTCCAGCACAAGAAAGATGAAGTTCATCTCCCAGGAGCAAGCCCCAAATACACGAGAGCGAGCATTTCAGAAAGCACAGCACGGTCCAGGGTGGCAGATTTATAATGGGATTAATGGTTCAAAACCTTCTCCTCTGCTTCTTCACAGTGTCCAGCCCCTCCCAAAAATGTGTTGCTCACTGAGTGCTCAGTATTGACTCCAGGACACAGCAGCTGGGCCGAAGGATTTGGCTTAGGGTAGAAGCTTGGGAAGACAGACACTGAGGCCACCCGGACACAGCAAACTCCCTCCTCCCTGATCTCCACCTCTGAAGTTGGTGTTTTATTCACATAGACCTCCTGAACTCTCAGCAGGGCTCAGTGGATTAAATGTGTTAAGAGACCTGGCAGCCATGAATAATAGCAGGAAGGACTATAATGAATTGAGTCCTCAAAATCAGGCGCCATGCTCCATGCTGTAAGACATGCTCAGCAGTTAAAAGCACTTGCTGCGTTCCCAGCACTACCGTGGCAGCTCTCAACCGTCTGTCCCTTCGGTTCCAGGAGGTTCAATACCCTCTTTTAACTTCTTCAGGCACTAAGCATGTAGGTAGTACACACACATACACACAGGCTACTCCTATTTGTAACCTCCTGGGACAGAGTGGTCACTCTTGCCTTGAGATTGGGGACTTGAAGCTTCGGAAATAGAGTCTGGTCAAGAGATTTCTCATCCTTGTCTCCTGGCAAGAGCCACCCTCATCACTCACTCCCTTATTCTCCATCACTCATGCCCTTGCCCATCGGCTGGCATCTGGCTCAGTGCAGCAGCCTCACAATAAGTCAGAGATGTGACAGATGCCATTAGCAAAACCTTTCCATCTCTCTCCCAGAGTAGGCTGGCATGGGGCATGGAGAGGAGGCCCAGAGAGGCACGGAGTCAAGAGAGAATAGTTTTTGTTTTGTTTTGTTTTGTTTTGTTGGTGGTTTTTGAAGACAGGATTTCTCTGTGCAGTAGCTCTAACTGTCCTGGGAACTCATTCTGTAGACCAGGCTGGCCTCCAACTCACAGAGATCCATCTGCCTCTGCCTGCTGAATGCTTGGATTAGAGGCATATGGCACCACTGCCCTGCTAGAGAGAATAGTCTCTGACTATGGGTGTTGGGGGCTGTCTGGCATTTATAGCTCACTCACTTGCTGAAGTCTTGGGGAACCCAAGTTTCTGTCTCCACAGAAAGGAGGTGGAAATTCCACCTGCTCACCGCCCCCCTCCCCAAGCCAGACCAACTCAGCATGGCCAGGAGCTCTGCTCACAGCGTTGTTAGCTATGTGAGCAGTTCTGAATTCCATGAATACAGGTGAAAGATACTTTGAAACCGCAGACCCCTGCTAAGCCAGCTTCCACATGTGGTAAGCCAGGCGTTTGTGGAAATACACCTGATCCCAGAACTCGGGAATTGGGTTCAGGAGGGCCAGGAGTTCAAGGCCAGCTTGGGTCTGTAGAGGAATTGGAGACTGTGAGGATATATGAGCCTCATCTCACAAAAGCCTCAAAGCAGTAACAAAGCCTTCCACAAAACCAAAATCCAAACCAAAACACATCCCTACTAGGATGTAGTAAGGACCAAAGACTGTACAAAGGGGCCGGAAAGATGTTTCTGCACAGTGGACCTGACAACATAATGGCTGTGATGTGGTGCTCTTGGAGTGACTGGCATCCATCTTCCAATGCCTTCTGCTCAGTGAGGTGCCCCTGCCTAATGCTCTGTGCACCACAGCCGTGTGGTGGGAAGGAGCCGCCTCACAACAATACTGTCAGCAAGGCCGAGCTTTACTTGGTTGTGTTTCTTTTTCATGTGTTTCTGAATTCACTTGTGCATTTTTCACATCTGTGCAAATGTGCATGTATGTGAATGCACACACACTTAGAGAACAGAGGGTTAATCTAGGATGGTTTTGGTTTTTCAGTTTTTTGTTTTGTTTTGTGTTTGGCTTTTCAAAACTGGGTTTCTCTGTGTTACAGCCCTAGCTGCTCTGGAACTCACTCTGTAGACCAGGCTGGCCTTGAACTCACAGAGATCTGCCTCTGTCTCCCAAGTGCTGAGACTAAAGGTGTGCGCCACCACCTCCTGACTGTGCCACCACCACCCAGTAATGTTCTTTCTCTAGACACCCTGGTTTTTGTTTTTTTTTAGAAAAAAAAGATTTATTTATTTATTAAGCATACAATGTACAGTTGGCAAGGAAGGCACCAGGTCTCGTTACAGATGGTTGTGAGCCACCATGAGTGTGCAGTGCTGCTTAGCTCCTCCCCTTGTTACTTTACTTTTTGTATGTATAGGTTTTGCCTACATGTGTGTCAGTAGCCAAGGGGGCCAGAAGAGGGTGTTGGATCCTCTAGGACTGGAGTTGTAGACAGTTGTTAGCCTCTGTGTGGGTACTGGGAATCAAACTCAGATTCTCTAGAAGAGCAGTCAGTGCTCTTTCAACTGCTCAGCCATCTCCCCAACCCCAGCCTCCTGACTTAGAGTCCAGGACCTCAACCAGGACAACATACGGCTCAAAGTGGGAGGGTCTTTCCGCCTCAATTAATGACATATATATATATATATATATATATATATATATATATATATATATATATATAAATAAATTAGTTGGGTGTTGGTGGAACACATTCCAGCACTCAGGAGGCAGAGGCAGACCGATCTCTACGAGTTTGAGATCTACAGGAGCTAGTTCCAGGACAGGCTCCAAAGCTACAGAGAAACTGTCTCGAAAAACAGAAACAAATCACATGTTCTGCACAGTGGGTAGGGGAGTCCCAAAATAAATAAGGCAGTCTCCAGTTCTGGAAGGTGATAGAGGCACTAACACTGATTGGAGGGACCATAGCATGTATGGACACATGTTCACCTTGGCTAGTGACTCTTGGAACAGGCTCTGATCTGAGACCTGCAGCAACAATATAGGAGAAACCAATAGCACCGCCTCCAACTCAGGAATCCAGCACTCTCTTCTCTACTCTCCAGGTACAAGTCCCAGGCTGCCTGGAGCAGAGTCTCTACACTTCTCATTACTGGCACCACTGACCGCCCTTCTGCAGTCAATGGAGAAGGAAGGCGTCAAAGGCGCCCCACCAAGTGGGGAAGGCGCCTCACTTTTTGTTACCCTTCTACACGGGCAATCCCAAGGTAATCCCAATTTCTGCCGTGAGCTCCGAAGGCCCCTTGCCTTACTTCTGGTTTGCTGCAGAACTTTTGGCTCAAAGCTGCTAACTGAATGACTGGAAGACAGAGTAAATAAAGACAGTCTGTGAGTGAAGTTGGCCACACTTCGTGCTTATTCTATGAAGATCTTCAGAAACACATGGTTGACCGGTCAAGTTGGCCCCAGATAAAATCCGAGCCCTTGGGAGGATAATGCCGGAGAATAAAGAGTTTAAAAATAGCGTGGACTATAGAGACGGACTCTGTCCTTAAAAACCAGAAAGAAAGCAAAAGAAAGGAAGGGCAAGGAGGAAGGGCTAGGGAGAAAAGGGGAAGGGAGGAAGCTCCCATACCCGTTGTCAAAGAAAATCCTAGCTGCTCCTCTTTCCCACCAGGGCCTGATCCCCTTCCTGATCCCTCTAAGGGGGTCCAGTATTTATTGAGCAGATCTTCTGAACTGGGGAGACAAGTCACACATTTCCCTCTCTACAGGCTTAATCCAATTCATGTACACACACCCCCCTTCCCACCATACAGTTCAGGGCCCTCCAGCCTTCCTTGTCCCTTATTTGAGTCTATTTGAGGCTGCTGAGTTAAGGGAGGGAGGAGGTCTCCAAGCCTCTAGTTTCTGTCTGCAGCCTATCCCAACGCGCCCCCCACCCCACCCCACCCCATACCAGGGATCTGTCTCAGTTAACCTTGAGACTGGTCCCAGGCAGATGATACAGCTCATAGCCTCTGTGCCTCCTGGAACAACCTCAAACCTAGCTGTTTCACCTCGCCCCGCCCCCCTCGGGATCCCTGCCCAAGGGTACTCTTCAGAGCCCACCACTCTTGGGCCAGCAGCGCCCTGGCCCCTAGGTGCCGGTGGCGGCGGGAGCTGCCAGCTTTTTGGAATTCCTAATCGCTCCTGGCCCCGGTGATTGGCTGTTCAGCTCTGACCCCACTTGGGCAGCCGCCTGGTTGGATAAAAAGGGAATCTCCTTGGGGCTCCAGAGCATTAGACACCGGAGGGGGCACCTGGGACCAACTTCGCGGAGCGGGGAGCCCGGCGGGGGGGTTGGGGGAGCAAAAGACCCGCGGCCTCAGCCCCTCCAAAGAACCGGGAGATGACGGGGAAAGCGGGGGAAGCGCTGAGCAAGCCCAAATCTGAGACAGTGGCCAAGAGTACCTCGGGGGGCGCCCCGGCCAGGTGCACAGGTTTCGGCATCCAGGAGATCCTAGGCTTGAACAAGGAGCCTCCTAGCTCCCACCCGCGGGCTGCCCTCGACGGCCTGGCCCCGGGGCACTTGCTGGCTGCGCGCTCCGTGCTCAGTCCGGCAGGAGTGGGCAGCATGGGGCTGCTGGGGCCCGGGGGGCTTCCCGGCTTCTACGCACAGCCCACCTTCCTGGAAGTGCTGTCTGATCCTCAGAGCGTCCACTTGCAGCCACTAGGCAGAGCGTCGGGGCCGCTGGACACCAGCCAGACGGCCAGCTCGGGTAGGTGAGGGCGAGGCTGCTTGCCTGCCACTCTGCTTGGGAGAGCCGCAGCTCTGCGCTGTCGGCTCTTGCCTGCGGGCCACGACCTCCCCCGGGAGGAAAAGTTCGTGCAGGCCAACAGATCTCAGCCCAGGCCTGGTGTCAGGGGGCCTCGGCCAGCGATCTGGAACTCAGGGTTTTCAAATTCAGCTTGTCCGACCCCTACTCAGTTCTTGTGAACTAGTGTCTGGCCCTGCTCGATCGCATCTGTGGGTTGGGGCCCCACTGGATGCTGAGCTCCTGGTGGCCGAGTCCTTGTCGCACCATCTCCCAGGGAGCTTAGCTGGAGGGCCCCAGCTCTGCTGCTCCACCGTGGCCTGGGCCTAAGCTCCTAAAGCATGATGCGGCTCCTTAGGCTGGTGGGACAGGAAAGAGGGGCTGGTCTTGGCCCTTGCCCCTGTGTCCAAAGTTGGCTCCTTTTTCTCCCTTCTTCTCCGTTCTTCTCCGTTCCAAACCCATGTATTGCTCAGCTGAGGGTCGATTTCCTCCCACTTCAAACTGGGAAAATAAAGCCACCACGGCAGCCAAAGGGCATCTGCCAGGTCCAACCTAAGCGGCACCCTGTATTGGATCCCAATTTTTCTCTGGATCAGGGACCCTGGATGAGTTCCCCTTCGTCCTTTCAGGGCCACTTTCCCGACGGTGTGTTCTAGCTCACCGACTCTCAGTCACTCAGATTTTTCGTGCCTTTGTTTATTATGTGTTAAATATAGAAGGGACAACGAAAGTGGTTCGTCGCAGGCTCTCCGCACTCGAACAGAAAAACATTTCGTGGGTGCCACGAAAAAGACAGCGAGCCCGCAATCTCCAGACCTTTTCAGAACCCGAACTCCCCTCCAACAGGCCCCCATTCTTTGGGTCAACTTTTCTACCTGGGACTTGGACTTGGCTGTTGCCGCAGGGCAGAGCACCTGAGACCTCAGAGCCTGCCTCCCTCTCCCACGATCTGGCCAGGCACGGTGCCTGGGCCTTGGCCTTTCTTGCAACGAAATTTGTTAAAAAATTCTGGTTTCAGAAGCAGACCCGGGGAGGGTCAACCTGGGTTTAGAGATGGGAATGGTCGCCCAGGCCCGGGAGGTCTTGGTAGAGGCCACAGGCCCGCGCTACTCTCCAAGGCTGCGGAAGGTGGGGTCCTCACCGTTTTCTGCGGTTCTGCGGAGCGCACTCCCCATTTCGCCTCCTGCCTCTCCGCCCGCTTTTCAGATTCCGAAGATGTTTCCTCCAGTGACCGAAAAATGTCCAAATCGGCTTTAAACCAGACCAAGAAACGCAAGAAGCGGCGACACAGGTAAGGGCCGCACCGTTCTTTCTTGCCCTCATCTCTAGCTTTCTTCTCCCGGGCCGGGTCACCCAGATTTTGTTCTCTGCGGATGACAGATGTGAGGGTCCCGGCTGCACCAGAGCAAAGACACCTGCGTGGTTTGCCGGAGCCTGTCTTGGGGCCCTGGCACCCGGTGAGGTTGACTGTGTCAGCCGGAGCAGCCGCACCATTTCGGCTTTCTACTTGTGCTGGAGAACGGAAAGACCAGTTGGAAGCCAGACCTGAGCTAGCATCCGGGCGACTCCAGACCTCTGCACTGATCAGAAAGTCACAGACCCGGCGGGGAGCAGATAAACAAACTCCCACCTCCCGCTGGAGCCAGATTCGTGCAACCTCTGCCCTGGGCGCCCCGTTCCTCCTAAACTGCCCCGTGTCTTGTCAACCCTTCCGTTTTCTTTCTGGTGCGACCCCCCCCCCCCCCCCAAAAAAAACTCCCGGGACAGCTGCACTGCCGGATCTTTGCTTTCGGCCTCTGCTCGTTTATGCTACCGAGAGGGCCGCTACCCTTCCGTGAGCCTCAATTTCCTAGTCTGGCAGATGGGGGAAGAAAGTGGACTGTCTGGTTCCACCTGCGGAGACCGGAGTGGGGTGGAATACACTGGTGGACAAACCAAGGAGAGTTGGTCAGCTCTAGGGCATTCGTGCATGCTTCTGGCCTTCTGGGGCACCATGTGCCCAGACTAATAAGCAAACACATACACTTATTTTTAATGTGAAAAAAAATGTCTTTAAATAGACGTTGAGTGTCCAAAGTTAAAATTCAATGGGTCTGTCCTAGGAAGTATGCTCCCTTCCTCACACCGCCCCCGGGAGGGGGGGGGGAGGCAGACTCATTCACTTAAGCGTCAACACTAATTCGTTCCTAGTGGAAATTTTGAGGCGATTATTTTTAAGCAAAGGAAGGGGGAGAGAGAGAGAGAGAGAGAGAGAGAGAGAGAGAGAGAGAGAGAGAGAAGCGACTAAGTTTCTGGGAGCGAGGTTCACAGGTCCTGTCCCTGCACTCCCCAGCTGGCCAGTATCTTCACTTTTCTTTCTGTCCTGACCAAAGTCGGGGAGGTCACAGGGACAATTCTCTGGTTTGTGGTCCCTTTGCATCCTCTTCTCTCCCGAATTTGGTCTTAGTCTCTGTATTCTCACCCACCTACACACACACCCAGCTTCTCAGTGCAGCTTGAATTTCCCTAGCTTCCCCCACCCTCAAAGATCATTACCGACTCTCTTTCCTGACCTCAGAACCGAATGTGGCTTAAGGGAACTTGAACTTCAGTTAGGGTCTCTGGGGGGAGGGGGGGCTCGTTTTATTTCCTGCAGGCAGCTTGCGCGCTTTAGCTCAGTTTGTTTTATTATTCTGTTTTCATTCCTATTCTATACTATTATGTGTGCCTGTGATAGCTGGGGTATGGGGTGAGGGTGAGGTCCATTCTGGGTGAGGTGCCTGAGGTGAGGAACATTCTGGAAACGTACCTGACAGTCCGAGATAACTTTGTAGAGTGGATTCTCTCCGCCTTTTCGTGGGTTCCAGGGAATCTTCTCAAGACGCTAAGGCTGCCCTGCAAGTGCCTTTACTTTAACGCTTAGCCATCTTGCCAGCCCAGTTTATTTTAAACAGATTTTTTTTATTAGTCCAGTCACTGGTCTTTAAAGAAAACCATTCAGCATATGTTAATTGAAACCTTACCTATGCATCTGTGTCCGACAGGTCCTAAAAGAATCTTTTCCTGCAGGGACAAGATCAACGCTGTCGGAGCACTCTGCTCCTGCCCTGGGGGTAGCACTGAGAGCCCTGGAGTGAGCATTCCCCAAATTCTGGGAGTACTGGGAAGTACCGGGAAGGCATTAGGGCATCTCACTCCGCTGCCCACTTAAAAACAAGCAAGGTGTTTTTTGAGCTCTAAGTCCGTGGTACCTGAAGTCTCTCATTTCCTTCACTTGCCACCCTTTCTAACAGAGAACCATTCTGGGTATTGGTGGGTTGGGAGCCAGATAAAACAGCTCACCAAAATCAGAGAACTAGCTACCCTGGGTTTCTGTCTATTTCTGGTGCACGAAGGTAGCAGATAACTGGAAAGAAGAATGGCTATGGGTTTGGGGAGGGGAGAGGATAGAAAAACAAAACACATTTCCCCGAGCTTCTGTCGGAGCCCCTGGAGTCCTGCGGTGAGAGATGGGCTTGGGGGAAACAAAGCAGCAGGACCTGGGGGTAGATTGGGGATGCGGCCAGCGACCCAACTCTGGGATTTTGTTCTTGGGAAAACTGCAGATCCTTTTGCAAGAGATCCTGGGCTCTGCTGCTGCCAGGAGCAGTTTGGGGTCACTGGGTGGGAGACGGGACCCTGCTGAAGAGTTTGCAGTCAGCAATAGGAAGACCAGTTCTGAGGTGGAATGGGGGAAGGTTGGGGAATTTAAGGTTTGCTGCTTCCTTTGCCTCTCTCTCTCTCTCTCTCTCTCTCTCTCTCTCTCTCTCTCTCTTTCATAGTCCTGACTGACCTGAACTATGTTGATCAAACTGGCCTTGAACTTGCTGTGTTTTTCCTACCCCATTCTCCAGAGCCAGTAGCTCAGAGCAGTCCCCATTGTGCCTGAATTTTGTTTCTTGAATGGGACTCTTCAAAGTACAGAAAAGCCCTAAATGACCCTAAATGATCCACAGTCAGCTTTCTTCTTAGGCTTTGGCCAGGCAATACCAGTTGTGCTCCTCAGTTTGCCTGGTTTTAAAAGGGACTTGCATTTGGTCATTTAGTTCGGTGATCTGCTCAGGGATCTCCTGCAGAGACAAACAGAGAACTGCGGATCTTCAAAATCCTGAAGAGTTAACTTTTTCTTTCTTTTTGTTTTGTTTTGAGACAGGGTCCCGCCTAGCCTGGTGTACACCAGACTGGCCTCTAACTCACAGAAATCTGCCTGCTTCTGTCTCTGTACTAGGATTACTAGGATTAAAGACATTACTACCACACCCAGACAATGAATTAACTTTCTGCTGCGTATATAAGCAGTCCACATATTGCCATCAAGAAAATAGTCAAAATAACCCAAAGCCAAACAAGTCATTTTCTATGAGGAGCACGACTTTCCTCTCCCGTGCGCCCTGATAATATCCCTGGAGATATTATCATCCCTGAAGACATTCCATATTAACTCGAGAAATGGGGGTTTTATGTGCACCTTTTCTATACACTAGGGAAGGGTAGGGCTTAGCAGGGAGACACTTTACAAATGAACCCTGTGCTGGTTCCAGGATCCAAATCTCAGAGGATCAAGAAGGGACATGCCACTTTTACAAGTTCTGTTGATGATGAGGGTGTAAGATAAAGGCCAGGTAAATACAGAAGGTGTAAAATTCGTGGAAAGAGTTTGCACCTGTAATTGGGTAGTTCCTGGTTTACTCTGAAAGGGGGGTTGTGAACCCCGTGATATCTGAGGCTTGTTCTTTGCACATTTTCCTGGAGTGAGAGACTGCAGCTTTCCTCAGTTTCTTGTCATTTTTGTTTTTCTTTTTTCTTTTTCCTGTTTGTTTGTTTTTTGAGACAGGGTCTCTTATCCTGAAACTCAGTATGTAGACCAGGCTGGCCTTGAACCCACAAAGATCTGCCTGCCTCTGTCTCCCAAGCACTAGGATTAATGGTTTATCCTCTCTTTAAATGGATCAATGTGGACCATTCTGGGGTAGGAGAGGAGACCGGTAGATGCATCCTCACACTACCTGTGAGCAGTTGAATCTGTGTGATGGAAAGTTGGAGGGGTCAGAAGTATGAGTGACTCCATTCTCATTGGACAAACCCTGAAAATGAAGCTGCATTTGGCCTTTAAAGAGAATCTTTACATCTGTCTGGTGGGGAGGAGCTCAGGATGCAGGTCCAGTGGGCCAAGGCTTTATTCATCTGATGAGATTTCCTCTTTGGCTTGTGGGTGAGGAAGACTGACTTGTTGTTGTTGTTGTTGTTTGTTTGTTTTTTGAGACAGGGTTTTTCTGTTGCTTTGAAGCCTGTCCTGGAACTGGCTCTTGTAGACCAGGCTGGCCTCAAACTCACAGAGATTCACCTGCCTCTGCCTCCCAAGTACTGGGATTAAAGGCGTGCACCACCACCACCCGGCTGAAAGGCTGATTTTCAATCTTTTAGAATTTTCTTCTTAACACACTTTCCTCCCAGTGTGTTTCCAGAAAGATTTTGAGTGAAATGTCGCTTAAGCTAAAGTAATATCCACCACCAGGATAATGTGGGCTCTCTGCCTTGGATAAAGAAGTGTGAATATGTGTTCATGGTGTGTGTGCATGTGTGTGTGTGTGTGTGTGTGTGTGTGTGTGTGAGAGAGAGAGAGAGAGAGAGAGAGAGAGAGAGAGAGAGAGAAAGAGGAGTTGACTGTGACCAAGGCACAGGAGAGAGATAGCCTGTTTTCTCCAAAGTAGGCTCCTCCGTGTTTCCAGGGTTCTGAGTTCTGATCTTGCTCCCCTCAGGACAATCTTTACTTCCTATCAGTTAGAGGAGCTGGAGAAGGCATTCAATGAAGCCCACTACCCAGATGTCTATGCCCGGGAGATGCTGGCCATGAAAACGGAACTGCCCGAAGACAGAATACAGGTAACAGCTGCTAACCTCTCCAGTTGCCTGGAGACAGCTACGTTCCCAGAGGCAGGCACCCATCCTTCCTGGGGGGAAAATCATTTGCCAGTGATCAGTAAAAAAAAAAAAAAAAAAAAAAAAAAAAAAAAAAAAAAAAAAGTTTATCTAAGTCTATTAAGCTGATAGGAACTTTCTGAATACCTACCATGTAAGTGGGCAATGAGTGGATACATCCACCTGCTCTTCCAGACTGTAGGCTTGCTGTGCTGGGGACGTGGGGAGTTCAGTGGAGCTGGGCTTTGCCTAGCATGAGGGAGGACTCAAGTTCTATTCCCACTCACTTCAAAAACCAAATTAAACCCCAAACCAAAACGAACAAAATACAGATGGTAGACTTCCTGAGCGTACGTTGTAGTAGAACCATGAGGAGGTCTGGCAATGAGACACAGAGTTGATTGGAGTTGGGGGGAGGGGGTCCCTGAGCAAGCCTGTCATGGCATATGGCTGTTTTAAGACCAGAGGGGGGCCAGGTGGTTATGGTGGCTGAGTAGGGGAAGCTGGCTTTTGCATCTAACCCTAGTCGGGGTCTCCTCTCTCTTCCCTATGAAGAAGCCTCCCCCCCCCCATCCCTGGTCACCCAGTTGCAGCTCTGTGCTCTGCTCATGACCAGGCAGCTGTTGTCCCTGCCCACACCTCCTGTTCAGTACTTCTTCCTGGACTGACCCAGAAAGTGACCGGTACACATGCCCTCTAGTGGGACTCACCAAGCCCCTCCTCCTCTCCTGGGTGGTTGTGTGTTCTGCATAACCAGCCACTGTTCTGGGTTGGTGTGCCCTCCTGTGGTAGGGGTGGAGGGGGGCCTCCCAGGCACAGCATCTTCCCCAACCCAGAAACCCCAGCACACAGGAACATCATGAGGCCAGAGAATTGAGTGGGATGGGTGGAATATTTCCAGAAGAGCTGCTTCCAATTCGATCTTAGCCTCAAGGGCAAATGACTCCAGGAAGGTGAGGAGGGTGGATTCCTGCAGCTCCAGAACGGGCCCTGGTGCGGGGATATTGGCGGGGCGGAAGTCAGGTCCTGACTTCCTGCTGATGTTGCCTGCCCAGCATCTTCTTCTCTGTCTCCACTGGAGGTTCTTTCTGCCAGGAGGTGGAGGAGAGCATCCCAGGCGCATTCTAGAGATGGAAGCAAAGGTTATGGGATGTTCGGATTCCCCAACTAGAGCACCAGAGAATGGAAATGAGGCCAGGAGTTGGAGATTTCCTTTCACGAGACATCAGTTCAGCATTTCAGCTCCAGGCTTTAAACATCGACACTAACAATAAGCTCAATTATTCATAGGCAGCTTATACTTATCGCGGAGACCTGGGACTGTTCTCACCCAGCTGAGTTTTAGTGGGGGAGACCTGAGTGTTGACTCTGAACTGTTTGTGTCTGCACACATGTGCATGGGTCTGGGGGTGCCCTGTAAACCAAGGCCTGGTTTACCCAGTCATCTCCACCCGGCCTTCATTGGCGTCAAGTTGGCCATTCCATGCGGCTTCTAGGCCGAGGCGTTGTTGAAAGGCCGGTGTGTGCACAGCTCATTAGTAAGAAGGAGCCTCTGTCTCTCTAGTATGCTGTCTAATCTCTGATTGGCTGTGCTGTGATGGGCAGGTCTGTTGGAGGCCGGGACCTCCCTGTAACTGCACTACACGGGCTCCCAACAGGTCCAGGTTAGCTTTACTAAGTCACCTGGAGGCTGTCTATAGGGAGAGGTTCGAAGTCACCATAATCAGCACAGGGAGGAGAGGGCACGCATTGCTCTGGGACTACTAACTATGGATGGGTGGATATCGCAGAGATGAGGCCCGAGTCTTGCCAGTCTCCTGGGCACCACATAGCTTAGTGCTGCCCCCTGCAGGAGCTTATGAGTGATTAAGTGGGCTTGCCCCAGCAATTTAACCATGAGGCTTAGGAAAGGTCTTGATGTGTATTGGTAACAATTCCAGGTATTTCAGAGACGTTTTCACGTGCCAAAGGTGTATACAGGCAAAGCAGGGTGCTTTCGGGGGTTGGTGACACTGATCCCAGAGCCGGACTCCTGGGTCCTCACAGACATCTCCTCACAGAGCCTTTTTGTACTCACGGGATTAGAGCGGACAAACCCCGCCCCGTGTGCAGATGCCACTGGCTGCGTGTGAGAGTGGACCCCGCCCCTTGAACTCCGTGAACGGAGTTCGGAGCGGTGAGGGACACGTGTCCACGCTCGTTCAGACTCGGCTCTGCTGTCATTAAATCTCGGTGACAAGGGGCAGGGTAGAGACCAATAGCCCTCCTTTAGAACTAGGGAAAGGGAGGTTGGCAGCTTCCTGCGTTCAGTAGCTAGAAAGTGGAGGTAATTAGAACGTGGTCTGAAAACTCGCCCTCTGCCTTGGGTTCTTGTGTTTGAGGACGCTGAACCCACATCTGGGAGAACAAAGGTGGTTTGAGGTCAGGAGTAGGGTCTGGGTACGTTGAGGTGTGGAACTAACATATCTGAAGATGGATGGCTACCATGGATACCGCTTCAGCACCATCCCTTGCCTGCTCCAACATTGGGCCAGCAGGGGGCGATGTGCGTGTGCAAGCGTGTGCATGCACGTGTGTGCCTGTGTGTGTAAGAGACAGGGCGTCTTTAGAGTCAGGAGTTTACAGGTAGAATGGAGCAATGATTGCTTTTTGTTTTGGTTTGGTTTTTGTGGTGGTGGTGGTGGCACCGGGTAGAACTCACAACCTTGGCCGGGCGGTGGTGACGCACGCATGCTGCATTCCTTTAATCCCGGCACTGGGGAGGTAGAGGCAGGCGGATCTCTGTGAGTTCAAGGCCAGCCTGGTCTACAGAGTGAGTTCTAGACAACCAAGGTGACACAGAGAAACCCTGTCTCGAAACAACAACCACAACAAAAGAACTCACACCCTCTTGCACACTTGCCCAGCGCCCTACCCCTGAGCTACCTGAGCAGGAGACACTATCAGGATCATCTGCCCCACCAAGCTCTAAGCTGCCCTTGATAGGATGGGAGCGCGGGCCAGCTAGAGTTCAGCAGTCCTAAGTGCAGTGGGAAGCTTCACTCTTGCTCATCCAAGCCAAGTAAAGCTACGGTATATCTGAGACCTCATGCCTGGTCTAATGACAACTCATGGCACACACATGACAACTAGGCACACCTACTAACATGTTTGTTTCACTGCCAGCAAGTCCCAGGCTGAGCCTCACATGACTCGTTTGTAATAATAATAATATTATTAATATTATCATATATAATATTATATATTATATTATTATTATTATTATTTCCCCAAAATTCTCACCTTGCTGACGGCATTGTAATCTGAGCGAGGCCTCTGCTGAATACTTGGCACCACCCTAGGTGTTCAGTGCCTGGTGTGCCTTGTGGCATTTTGTCACTCAGCACTAGATGAGTCTGGTGTTGATTTCATACCCATTTTCTGGATGAAGAAACTGAGGGTCTGAAAGGTAAAGTTGATAAGAGACTAGGATTCAGAGCCTAGTTAAACTGCTATCCCATGAGATGAAATGACACTATGTATACCAACTGTCATTAGGGCAAAGGGCAGCAACAGTGGGCCAGGAAGCCTCCTTGGGTAACTCCAGGCTGGGAATGTAGTGATGGTGGTACACGCTGGGGAAAGAAACATTCTATGTCACTACAGTAGAGTTGGCTGCACGGTTCTCTTTAAGAAACAAATTTAGGGGGCTGGAGAGATGGCTCATCGGTTAAGAGCATTGCCTGCTCTTCCAAAGGTCCTGAGTTCAATTCCCAGCAACCACATGGTGGCTCACAACCATCTGTAATGGGGTCTGGTGCTCTCTTCTGGCCTTCGAGCATACACACAGACAGAATATTGTATACATAATAAATATTTTAAAAAAGAAACAAATTTAGAATATACATTCTGGAAGCTGCTTCAAGATGTCGGTCCTCGAGAACAGGAAATGGATTTCCAAACTAATCTTATTTTCTCTGAGGTCACGCTACTAGAATTGTAAGAGAGGGCTATATACACGGTGTTTGGGTTTTGGATTTTCTTTTTGGAGCTAAGGGTGGAACCTAGGCCCGTGCCCATGTTTGGCAAGCACCCTGCCACTGGGTTTTTTGTTTTTTGTTTTTTTTAGATTTGTATTTATTTTTTTTTATGTGTTTAACTGTGTTCAGGCCAAGAGAAGGTGCTGGAACCCCTGGAACTGGGGTTTCAGACAGTTGTGGGGCACCGTGTGGTGCTGGGAACTGAACCCGGGTCCTCTGCAGGAACAGCCAGGGCTTAGCCACTGAGCCGTCTCTCCAGCCCCCTTGGCCCTCTTGAAATATATATATTTTTTCTTCTTTAGAATTTGATTTTTGTTTTCAATTTTTGTGTGTGTTTGAGTGTGCTTATGATATAAATACATGTGGGGTGTGGTGCATGCATTCGGGTGTGTTCTCAGAGACCAGAGAGGAGGTCACGTGTCCCGTCTTGTCCCTCTATGTCTTATTTCCTCCAGACAGGGTCTTTCCCTGAATTTGGAGCTAGATTGGCACCCAGTCAGCCGCAGCAATCCCCCTGCCTCAACCTCCCAGGTTCTACCTCCCAGGTTCTACAATTATAGGCAAGTGCCGTACCAGGTCTGGCTCTGTTCTCTTAACTGGTTATTCTTTCTTTCTCTCTCTCTTTCTTCCTTTCTTTCTTCCTTCCTTTCTTTCTTTCTTTCTTTCTTTCTTTCTTTCTTTCTTTCTTTCTTTCTTAAGACAGGGTTTCCCTATAGCTTTGGAGCCTGTCCTGGAACTTGATCTGTAGACCAGGCTGGCCTTGAACTCACAGAGATCTGCTTGTCTCTGTCTCCCAAGTGCAGGAATTAAAGGTGTGTGCCACTACCGCCCAGCTCTATTATTGTTCTTTTTTAATATTTATTTATTTATTATGTATACAATATTCTGTCATGGTGGAAAAGGGTTTGTAGGATCCTGGTTTAGTATGCTTACTAATATTTATAT